TTTCACGACATTAGCCAATTATTTTTCATTTGAAAGTTTGGATTTTGATACGGCCTAAAACTTAAGAACAAGGGTAAAAGAAGTCTTATCTCTTCTTTAACGCATTCAATGCTTAGTGTGATAATCTCTCTGGTTTATCTGTTTGGCTGGCTGGACAAATTTGTTCTTTGAAAACAAACAGGCTGATATTTTTTGGCTGAACAAGAGGAACAGTATCTTGAACAGTTCACAATAATGTCACATATTTAGCAAACTACACTGATATTTTTTACCAACACTCTGAACTGGTGTTATATACGTGAGTGTAATTCTTTTGTTTTTTAAAATATATGGAAAATCGATAGAAGCTGAAATAAATCCAACCAAATTGATCAACAGATTTATAATTTAATTTAGTATATTTTTTCAGATAAATGTTTAATATTTATATTAATTAAAATATTAATTATTTTAAACGTTTCAATTAGATCAAAATTTTTTTTTAAAAAAATATTATATTTTAATGTTACTATCTCAAATTTTAATTTCAAGATTTGTATAGCGTAATTATATCCATTAAATTCTATTTAAAAATTTTATTTGAAATTTTAAAAAAATTGAAGAGCTAGCTAGCTTAATCTTCCTATTAAGTAGATTGAATTTTTACATATACTACATCAACAATACTTTTGTTCTCGTTCCATTGTGTACAAAAAAAGAACATAAAAAAAGAGAAAAGAAACATTCTAATATATTAAAATTACATTGAATATGTAAGTATTTAAATAAATTATAATGGAGGCAGATCAAGCTAGAGTGAAAGAGACATTAAAAAAAGAAAAATAATACTAATACAAGAGATAAGATATTGAAGAGAAGATTAATTTGAAGAAAATCATAAAGTAAAGAATTACCATTACATGCATGCATGCATGCGATACATCAATAACGATAACTACTACAATGATGAGACTGCAACTATTACAAAAACTACAACTACTAAGAATATGAAGACATATATCTATGGTGGATTGTAATTAGTTATTCGAGTGCATCACAACAATAATCCAAATAATTTAAAATCAAACATCTTAGAATTTTATTCCTACGGATAATTAAACCCATTGGACCATGTTAGTCCATTATTCTGATCTGCAAATGACACCATCATCTCTGCCTTAGCCCCATTACCAAACCCTAAATGAGGCTGCTGTTGTGCTTGTGAGTTCATCCCCTCAACAAACCACACTTGCGACTGCTGCAGCTTATGCAGAGGAGAATCCTCGTTGATCTGAGCAGATGTCTCCCCGGGCCCCTTCATTACTCCTTCATC